TACTTGTTGGTGTACGGGAATGTAAAAGAATTTCGGTTTATCGGAGCAAGCGTTGGCATCTTGGACCAACCTCACGCTTGTAGGAGATAGACACAGCCATAAAAAGTACAGGAATTTTTTTTTGAAGTTTTGCAAAGTGCGCTATATAGATGGGCGAGTACAGCTGATCCCCAACTATATTCATGCACTTTGTTGATATTTTGTAATAAAGGAAAATACATGGTATGGACGATATTCCCAGTTCCGTCTGGAAATAAAAAGTGACCGAACAAAATCATAATATAACACCGTGTCTTGACTATTATGTCAAATTCGGTGCTATCATCAGATAAGACAATACTGTTGTATTATTCTCTGAGGTATTTTAAATTAATTCCCTGACCCCTCGGGCGGCCATCGCTTTCCGCCTGAGGTGCATCCACACAAAGAGGGGCGCTCAATAAATCTTCGCAAAGTCGGTCAGGGACACCAACTTTTCCGTTGACGACCTTACCATCGATGTGTAGGCCGAGCAACATGTATACGTCTTGTAGAGTTACAGTACACTCACCAAAAGGTAGGTGAAATGCATGTGTCTCTGGTCTCCAGCGTTCTAACAACGGTAGAATAAACTTCATATCGAGATAGTATGATTTGATTTTGATCAAATCACCAAACCCACAATTACGAAGGTACCCCTCTATGAGTGGATCGTGTGGTATGTAATCATGCACACGACATTGAAACCTTGATACATCCTGCAAAATAATTAATGCTACGTTAGAGAAGAAGTAAAATAATTAACGTTACGTAGGACAACTAAAAACTTAGATAAGAACATTGATAAGAACTAAAAACTTACAAACTCTGCAATGTTTTCAGTTGTGCCTCTATGAGAGTCGCCCATGGTGAGTGAAGACATTGTCGTTAGAGATGTTGAGATGTTGAGATGTTAAGAGTCTTTGAGTTTAGGAGTTTGGGACTTAGAAAGTTTGAGAGTTTGGGACTTAGAAAGTTTGAGAGTTTGAGAGTTAGAAAGTGTGATCAGAATTTGCTAGGTAAAGACCCTATATTTATATTCCACGATTGGATGTGTGTTGTAAGTGCATGCTGAACAAGTGGCATGATGCATGTGTGTTGTAAGTGCATGTTGAACAAGTGGCATGATACATGTGTGTTGTAAGTGCATGCTGATCAAGTGGTCTGATGCATTGATTGTGGTAAACGCATGATGAACAAGTTTTTTGCGATTCTAAAGATGAACACGCTGAAGTCAATGTCGTTGATGAAGAAGAAGAAGCAACTGAAGTCACTGTTGACGAGATGATGAACAATCCGGAGGGTGAAGTTCAACCGGGCAATGTCTATTGTCCACCTCAACACATGACAACTATCGCCTTAGGTGACGATGAACCCTCGACGAATGTTTTCTACAACCCCAACTACATAACAGAGGGGCAACTACAAGAGGGTGACGAGCTTCGTACGAAAGAAGATTGTGTCCGGGCTATCAAACAGTTTCACATGGAGTTATCAGCCGATTATAGAGTCGATCGGACAAATCCGACGCTGTATACGATTTATTGTCGTAACGAGGAGTGCCCGTTCCGATTAACAACATCTTTCAGGAAGAGAAGCGATTCCTGGAAGATAGGGTCAATGGGTCTGTCCCACAGTTGCATAATCTATAATCCGATGCAAGACCATCGCAAACTCAGCTCTAAATTGATTTGCAACGAGATTCTCTCAGTCGTTAGCGACAACCCGTCTTTGAAGGTGAGTACCATAATTGCACATATGGTTCAAAGGTACAACTACACTCCTTCATACCGAAAAGCCTGGATTGCGAGGACTAAAGCGGTTGAAAGGGTGTTTGGAAATTGGGAGGGGTCGTACAAAGAACTTCCTAAATTCCTGATGGCTCTTAAACACTACTCTCCAAGAACTGTTGCGATATTGGAGACGATGCCTGCTTGTACACCAGACGGGGTTTGTGTTGGTGGAAATGGAATTTTCCACAGAGTCTTTTGGGCGTTTGAGCCATGCATCAAAGGGTTTGCATTTTGTAAACCTATTATTCAAATTGACGGAACATGGCTATACGGGAAATATAAGGGCACACTTCTCATGGTTGTGGCACAAGATGGGAACAACAACATTTTCCCAATATCCTTCGCCATAGTAGAAGGGGAGACTGCTGGGGGTTGGAGTTTTTTCTTAAAAAACCTCTGCTCTTACGTGTCTCCCCAACCTAACTTATGTTTGATCTCCGATCGACACCCATCCATCGAGAGTGCATACAACAACCATGACAACGGTTGGCAGGATCCTCCCTCGACCCACGTCTATTGCATAAGGCATATTGCCCAAAATTTCATGCGGGAAATCAAAGACAAGACGCTGCGGAAGAAGGTTGTGAACGCGTGATATGCACTAACTGAACCCACATTCAGATACTACTGTGACGAGATCAGACTGACCAACGCGGATGCATTAAGATGGATTGATAGCATTGATAGGGAGAAATGGACGCGGGCATACGACAATGGGGTGCGATGGGGCCACATGACAACTAACCTTGTCGAGTCAATGAATTTTGTTTTCAAGGGAATCTAAAACCTCCCAATAACTGCCTTGGTAAAGGCAACCTATTTTAGGCTAGGATCACTCTTTGATAGCAGACGTACGAAGTGGGGTTTGATATTACAATCGGGTCAGCTGTACAGCGATACTTCAATGAAATTCATGAAAGAGGAAGCTGCCAAAGCCAACACACACGTGGTCACAATCTTTGACCGTACCGCTGGTTGGTTCAGTGTTGCCGAGTCTATAGATCACAACGAAGGAAGGCCTAGGGGATGTTATCGTGTTGAATTGGATAAGAGTTGGTGTGATTGTGGAAAGTTTCAAGCATTCCGTATGCCTTGCTCTTATGTCATAGCAGCCTGTTCGAAGGCGCGCTAGGACCCAACCAACCTTCTTTCTGCAGTTCACCAAGTGATAAGTCTATGCAATGTCTACACATGCTGCTTTAAGGTGGTGGTAAAGGAGGACTATTGGCCTGAATACGAAGGCGAAATTGTTTGGCATAATGACTTGATGCGCAGAAAGAAAAAGGGTCGGCCTAACAGCACGCACATTCGAACGGAGATGGATACCGCAGACAAGCTGGTGAGATTGTGTAGTTCGTGTCGGCAACCAAGACACAATCGTACAAAATGTCCTAACGTAGGATCAAGCAGCAGATCATAGTTTGATATATAACTATGTCCCTTTAATTCAATAGTAAATTTCATTCGATTAATAGCAAATTTTATTCGATTAATAGCAAATTTCATTCGATTAAAAGTATACTTAACTGACATAACAACAACATAAAGACATAACATTGCACCAACACATCATAAATTAAACAAACATAACAACAAAGTAAAGACATCAAACAAAACACTGCACCAAGGCGTCTACGATATCACGACCATCAACTTTATCTTCTTTGGTGTCAACATCATCACAAGGACAACAACATCATTTTCCACTTTTCTCCATTCACGAGTAACTCCGTTTCTCCCGGTCTCCTCGACCAACCTCTCAATTTTCTTAATCTTTTCTCCTGGAGCAATATCCCCTTCTAGTCAGCGGTTCAGTTCCCTGTGCAAGTGCTGCAACGTCTGCGTATTCCACAGGAGCACCTTCATCGGAGGCTTTGTTGCTGAAAACACAACTAGGGCATTTCTTTTCATTAGATCGAACGTTGGAAAAAGTTCCTCCGATGCTGATGACGACGACGAAGAACGTTGATTTAGAAATGCAGACATTCTAGACTCCACTCAACTCAAACTGCACTAACACTTTAGTCTTTTGGGATATAATATTATGAAAACATACATGTGTTTGTAGTCGTATTTATAGTACGTACCCCATATGATATGACTGAAATACTCTTACAACATTTATACAACTCAAAATTAAATCAACACTATATTTTTATTTTGTATTTAAACCAAAATTTATTAAACTAGTTTAAGTTTATCATTTATTAAACATAAATTTATTAAATTAATTTGAAATTATTTTTATTTAAACCTAATTATTTTAAGTTTATTAATTAAAAAATAAATTTTAACATTAAACCTAATTATTTTAAGTTTATTAATTCAAACATTAATTTTAACATTTAAACCTAATTTTTTTAAGTTTATTAATAATAATTATGTTTAAAAAAATAATAATAATTAAAAATATAAAAACAATTTGATATTAAATATATTAAAACATTATCTGAAATTAAAAAAAATAAACAAAATTAAAAATATGAAAACGTTAAAATGGAACCCCTAAAAAAAATTAGAACACACTCATTTGCCAATCAGCATGGCGAATTCTTTGCAAATTCTTCTCATTCGCCAATCCATATGGCAAATTCATCTTTGCCATTTTTCATTTCTTCTTATTCGCCAATCTATATGGCGAACGGAGGTTAAATTGCTGGCCATTTTAAAAATTTTCTAAAAATATTAATTATTATGGTAATTCATATTTAATATAGGGTTATTATAAAAAAATTCTCAAGATTGGCTTTATTTGGTCTAAATGTTAATTTAAAAATGTTTCATCGTTAAAAGACATTATCCGCATACAAGGTCGTCTCATATTATATAGTGCATTATTTATCATTACCAAAAAAGGAATATTATCCGTTAGGTATCTATAAATATTTAACTATATAAAGCAAACTAACGTCCACGTGCAATAACAGACAAAGGGGACCGAGATTAAAAATATCAAAAACAAAGGGCTTTGTATGTTCATTTGCACAACTCAAAAATCCATGAAGTTTCACCGAAGTGTCCATAAGAAGAATATTAATTTAAAAATGAATAACACCACGCGGTTCAAACGTTAGTTTTTGAATAAACAATTCAATCAATTAGAATACTAGTTGTATATAAATAAAGTAAAGCACAATATTCCCAACACTCACTATTAGATCTAAAACACCACTACACTTATTCAAAAACATGGCTTCAACTACCAAAGACTCAGATTTCGCATATTTAGAGCACATTCAACAATACCTTCTTTGTGATGATTCCAGCCTTCTAACATCTCATCAACCTTTTCCAAGTCCTAAAAGTGACAGTGCTTCAGGCAAATCTGTGGAGGTGGGTGACGTAAGTGCACCACCACCGTCTTGGAAGCGGTACAAGGGCGTGAGGCGTAGACCATGGGGGAAGTTTGCGGCAGAGATCAGAGATCCTAAAAAGAATGGTGCTAGGGTTTGGCTTGGAACTTATGTGACAGAGGAAGAAGCAGCTTTGGCCTATGACAAAGCTGCTTTCAAAATGCGTGGCCGAAAAGCTAAGGTTAATTTTCCTCATCTCATTGGCTCTGACATGTCTACGTCAGAGCCAGAGAGAGAGGTGGTTTTGAAACGGGACTCGCCCGAACCTTCTTCGTCAGAGGGAAGTTGTGAGTCATCGTCATCGGGAACAAAGAGGAGGAGAGGCATGGCTGACCTACTTAACAAATTAGCCAAGAATAAAAGTCAAGCTATGGTGGTTGAGAATGAGAATTCCTTAGAAGCAAATGATTTTGAGCAATGGGTGAATGAGTTGAGTGATTGCGCTCTAATCTGGAGCTCCTAGAGTAGTTCTGTTGATTTTATGTTTTCTTTTAATTTGTGCAGTTTCCTAATATTTTTGCATACCCCTGTTGATTTTCAAGGGGTGATGTTTAACTAAAACTACAACGATTAATGTTGTTATTTTCCCGAAAGAACGTTCTTTTGGATTTGATGTCAAGTTGAAAAGAAAAAATTTAAGTTGTACAGTTTCATTTTATCTTTATGTAAGACAATATTGATATGTGTGCGAAACTGATAGCAATCTTACCCATCATTGATTTCATGACAAATGAGTGCAACAGTTAGCTTTAAAGATAAAGAAACCAATTTTTGTTACTTTGTATTCCCATTGTCCTCCGATTAGTGATTTGCTCGACCATTTTATAAAGATTAAGAAAAATAAATTAATAAAAAAGAAAATAATATTTTTACTAAATTACATTTATTATGTATTAAGAATTAGAGGTGTACTGGTTCATGAAATATACTGAACTAAACTACATTTATGGTTCAATTTAGTTTACAAAAATCATTTCAATAAAAATTCATTTAACTGTTAAAGAGGTTTTAATTCAATTTAAAATTAGTTTAAAATTAATTTATGTTTATAAACTAGTTTATAATCCTTTCGTAATTATAAACCGATTTTATAATCGAACTCTTTTAAAACAATTTTTTTAATTTGATAAAAAAAAGTTAATTTAAAAAAAATTATAATATTTGAAAATTTTATTTAAATAAATAATAATATTTTTTTTAAAAAAATCAGAATAAATTATTTTAATTTTGTATAAAATTTTTGAAAAAAACAACTAATTTTTATTTTATTTTTTCAAAGAAAAAATTAATTTTTTTTTCTAAAAAAAGAATTCCAGAATAAAAAAATAAAATTTCATTTTTTCTTACTTTTCGAACAAAAAATTCCAGAATAAAGAAATTATTTTTTTATTTCTCAAAAAAAAATTATTTTTTAAATTTTTAAATTTTAAATTTTTTTATTTTTCGAAAGTTTAATTTTTTTATATATATTTTTTTTTAATTTTGGGGAAAAATTATTTTCAAATTTTTTTCTAAAAAAAAGTTTAAACTTTTGGGAAATTTTTTTTTTTATAATTTTCGATTTATTTCCGGAAAAAAATTTAGAATAAATAAATTTTCTTTTTTAATTATTTCCAATTTTTTCCCATGTTTTTCTTCTTTTTTGTATGAAAAACTTATTTATATAATTAAAAAAATTTATAAAAAAAAACTGGTTATGAATCAATTTTAAACCGAATTAAAATTATTTGAATTAAATAGTTCAATTTATTAACCATTTAAGTGGTTCAGTTTTTTATGGCACAATGCAATTCAGTTTAATAATATAGTTTAGCTAACCATATTTTTGCAGACCCCTACTAATAATGATGAAAGTAATATTAATTAGAGAGTAAAATAGTAAAAGATGCATTGAAAATTAAAATGAATTTTTCATTTTAGGACACTCTTTTATTCTAAATTGGTCAATCATTCTGGGGACGGAGGGAGTACCTTAAATAAATGGACTATTAATTGCTATGGGGATGAATACTTTGTGATGGCAAACCGTCATATAGCATACATACTTAAGTTTCGATGATAACAAAACGCGATCATGAATGAATCGTTTTTTCTCGATTCTACCTCTACAACAAATGCAATATTTAATCTCTATATCCTTCTTATATCCATCTAAAGTGTCATATTAAATTCAATATATATGGGAGATCAGTGATCATGACTAGATGCATAATAACCACAAAAATATGTTTTTTTTTTGCAATTTTGCAGGGTTTGAGTCGACCACAGGTCGACGCATGGTCGGCGCATGAACCAGTGCAAAAGCCCACGGGTCGACGCATATTATTAAGACTTTTCAATCTGTCTAAATCTGCAGGCTATGCGTCGACGCATAGTCCTGCTATGGTCTGTGGAGGCAAATCGCCACATATCACACAAGCCTATAAGACATTGGTAAATGCAGGTTTCGATGATGACAAATTCCCAGGATAGACTGGAAAGTATGAATTCCAGATCCACTCAACCAGATGCAACGTATCACCCACCATATCCTTCTTTCGCTTATCTTAAAAATTTCTGAGATGAATATACTTTGTGTTGACAAAACGCAATCATGACTAAAGGCATGAAAAACTTCAAACTAATGAATTTTTGCAGGATTGCAGGACATGGGTCGACCATAGGGTCGGCGTAGTCATCAAAAAGGTCCAAATCAGTCAGCGCACAAAGCATGCGTCGACCATAGGGTCAGCGCATGAAGGAATAACATTCCAGCGGGTCAGCGCGTAAGGGCATGGGTCGACCATAGGGTCGGCGCACAAAGGAAATGAATTTCAACGGGTCAGCGCACGCCGACTGTATGGTCGACGCACACTGATGAAATTTCCAGAAATCCAAAACAGCACAGGCCATGCGTCGACGCACAGACCTGTTATGGTCGACCGTTCGCGCGAAAAATCTGTTTTAAAATACTTCCCTCTCATATTTGAAATACTGTTATGTCCTGAATTATGTTGGCACTATATATACTTGCTTAAACACTTGTGTCTACTAGCATTTGATATTCTTTTGATTCATGTGTTCAAAAACAAGAAAGAGTGAAATAGGTGTCCAAGATTCATCATCTTCATCTTCAACATCTCACAACATTTCAATTACACACAATCATTTTTGAAATGCATTTGTGAGAGATTCAAGGTGATAAGGTTCGAGGCTTAGATTGGAGAATCAAGCTCGGGTTGAAGATTGCGACAGGTTCTTTCTTGAATAAAACCATTGGGGTTTTGCCCTCCAAGATTGGTTCGAATTTTGGGGGTTTTTGGACGAGATTCTTCATCAACGATCAATCGAGCGAAGGTGATTGTGAAGAGGTGGTCTTCCCAAGTCTAGTAGCGGATTCGGTGATTTTGAAGGGAAGATCTCGGGTTCGATTTGGTGCTGTTGAGGTCAGCCGGAGCCAAAGGTTTGAACAACAACGTGTTCTTCAATAAGGTGGCTGGAGTCGGAGGTCCATCAACACAAATCGAAGAACTTAATTCAGCTTGAATCAAGGGGCAAGGAGTGAAGGCAACTTTCAACACATTGAGATTTTTGTTGTATATTTGCTACTCAATCCTTGTATAAACTGTTCATTCAAACAGGTGATATCTATACAATATATCTCAATTCTAGTTTTAGAATTGAGGGCAGACGTACCCCGAAGCGAGGACGACGGGGGAACTGCCTCACCAAATTACTTGTCTTCTCTATTTTCAGCATTTACGTTACAGCTCAAATAAGTAATTTTTGTGTAAGCTCTATTGTCAAAATTGTGATATCAATTGAGTAAGAGATTAAAACTTTGTTTTTAACTCTAAAGCACAACAATACATTGTACTAGGCTGGTTGAAATCACTTACTCAACATAAACATCACTTGGAGTGTTTTTGCACACCAAGTGTTTGACATATTGCTTGAACCAAAATTATCTTACTTGTGTATCTAGTTTTGGTTTGATTTTGAATCATTGGAACTAGGAATCCTTACAACTGAAGTAAATAATTGATAAGTGTAGTTTGTGTTGTGATTCTATTTTTCCGAATTGTCATTAATCCATAGGCTTACGTATATCCGGTTTTCCAATAACCGTTCGTTTTAGACTATAATTTTTCCTCGGCCGCTTCCGCACTTAAAAAAATTTTAAAACCAATTTTAAATTGGTAGCGGCGACTCAAATTTTAATTGGGGATCTATTCAACCCCCCCTTCTAGATCCGTGCCATAGTCTAACAAGTGGTATCTAGAGCTCCGGTTATTCGGTGCTTCAAATACAACGAGATAGAAAATGGCAAACAAACCTAAAGGGGCGTACAATAGGGCTCCTGTTTTCAACGGTGAAAATTATAGTTATTGGAAAGACTGTATGCGTGTGCATATAAACTCCATAGACAGAAAAATATGGAACGTTATCCTTAATGGTTCAATAGAAATTACTATGACCAATGCGGATAACGTAGTTGTGCCAAAGCCTAAAGCACAATGGACCGATGACGATGAGAAAAAATACAATTATGATTGGAAAGCTAAAAACATCTTAATCTCCTCATTAGGTGTAGATGAATACTATCGTGTATCCCATTGTCCTACCGCTAAGGCCATGTGGGATTCACTACAAATAGCCCATGAGGGGACAAACGATGTTAAGTTGGCTAGAATCAATACATTAACTCAAGAGTTCGATCTCTTTTTCATGGAGCAAGGGGAAACCATTGCTGACATGCAAAAAAGATTTAGTCATGTCATCAATCGTTTACATTCATTAGGTAGGCCTGTTTCCAATGATATTGCTACTAATAAGATCTTAAGATGTCTAAACAGGGAATGGCAGCCTAAAGTGACCGCCATCAAAGAAGCACATGATCTTACCTTATTAGATTTAACAACATTGTTTGGCAAATTACAAGAGCATGAACAGGTACTCTTGAGCTTAGACCAACGCGAAAAGATGGAAAAGAAAGAAAAAACGAAGGTGAGTGAAAAGAAATCGATAGCTCTCAAGACTTCCTCCTCGAAGTCTCAATCAAAAGAGCAAAATGATTATTCCTCGAGCGACGAAGAAGAAGAGGACACAAGCGAAGATATAAGGTTGTTTGTTAAACGGTATAACCGTTACATGAGAAAGAACGACATCCAACATTCCGAGAAGAACTTGGTAAACTTCCGGAAACAATCGAGGCACTCCAAGAATGATGACTCGAAAGGTAAAAAGACTAGAGGGACGTGCTACAAGTGTGCAAAGCCCGATCACTACAAACCGGACTGTCCGATGAATAAAAAGGGAAAGGACAAGGAATCATCAAAGTCACACAAGAAATCATCAAAGCCTAGGAGAGCGTACATAGCATGGGAAAGTGACAGCGACTCTTCCTCCTCTGATGAAAGTTCTAGTGATGAAGAAGAGTTCGTGAATCTATGCCTCTCCGCTAATCAGAAAAATAAGAAAAAA